CATATCGTACTACTCCTCATTGTTCTACTGGTAAAACACCTAGTGAAATGCTATTCAACAGAAAACTTCGTTCAAGACTAGATTTGTTGCGCCCTTTAACCTTATCGGATAACAACGTAGTTCGTCCACAGCGTTCTTTCATGATAGGAGACACAATTTTTGCTCGTGACTTTTGTTCTAAAGAATATTGGGTTGCTGGTAAAGTTATTCAGAAACTTTCACCTGTTACCTATAACATTGAGCTCCCTAATGGTTCCATATGGAAACGTCATATTGATCAACTGAGATCTCGATCATCCTCATCCCTCGAATCTCAAGGTGCTTCATTCGTTCCTCTTCAGCTGTGGTGGGAAGAAGAAAATAATCCTATAGTTGAAAATATTCCCCAGAAAGACAACATGAAAAATTCATCATCAGATACTGTCTTAACTTCAGACTCCTCTAGTACTCAAGAGTCAAGTCGTAGACATCGTAAAACTCCTAGATACTTACAAGACTATGTTTGTAACTTCTCCTTAGGAGGGGATGATGCTATGTATCGCAGTGCCATCTATGGCAGTTCAAATGTATATATGTAGTAGCGCGCCTGCGCACTGCAGAGTTCTGCACCGTTATGTACTTCAATAAAGACGTGTTGATTTAGCTGTTTATGAGAATCCGTTTCAATCCTTTTCGTAATCTAATTCCGATGTTAATACATACCAGAATAGATATTAATAACATAAGAATTGAAGAGAACAATCAGAAACAAATCCTTATTGAAGGAAATACCATCAAACAGAAAGCTTTAAATATCATACAACATAAACAAGCTGTGTAAGGTTTATCTACATTTTTTTTTTTTTTTAAATTACATTATACAGATAAAGATGAAATTTTTAATATATACTAACAAAACATATTTTAAATGAAATGAGAAAAATGAGATAATTCCAAAAGTAGTATTGTAGTTACTTCAAAAATTTTGAAATGAATATTACAATGACTTCTTATAACAAATTGTTTTATTTTTCAGTTCTACTTTAAAAATTTTTTTTATGATTTAGGATTAATATCATACTGTTTTAATATAAAAATTTTTCTTATGAAAATAAACTTTTTTCCAGAAAATGGTGTTTGTAGTGATTATCATTGTTATTGCTATAAAAATGCAACAATGGAAAGTGAGTGGAAATTTTGACATTTAAATAAATTTGTTAGAATTTTTTAAATTTACTTTATTTTTAATAATAAATAAAACTATTTTTATTGTTTTTAAAAAAGCTTTTTCTTTCTAACATTCTTATAATAATAATAATTTATTTTTTCCAATTTAAAAAGTTTAATTTCTATATGCTGAAATATTTCAATCTATTTAAAATTGTTCTAGCAACTTCAAACTTTCAAAAGCACTGTCCTTCAAAGAATCATATAGTATCTGTATTAAAAACTGAGGATTACTAATTATTTATTTCTCATATATATCATCTGTGATATAAGATTTTGTGAGTGTTTATTATATATTTTATTCAACTTTTGATATGTTTCCTATTTCAAAAACAAATATTAGAACTAATTAAATAAGACCTCAGTAGTAGAGTAATGAATTAAATAAAAGGAAAAAGTTTAGGAAGATTAGATCTTACAAAAATAATATTAGGATGATGATTTTGGATAATCCTATTACTAATTTCTTTTCTTACTGCTACTTTAAATAATAAAATGCTAAATTAAATAGTATATTTAGATGTAAAATATATTTAAAATCATATTTTTAATAAAAGACATAAATATTCACAAGAAAGTTTATGACAACTAAGGCTAGGACATCTAAACACTAAAAAATCATAGTTTAAAAATTATATAACTTTGTGATTTTATGATTTTCATGTACCAAAATATTTTAGAGCTAATTATGATACATCTGTAATTATATATAATGAATTTTTATTAGGTAAGTTGGTATTTATAAATATCTATTGAAAAATATTTTGTTTATTTTTAAATAAAAAATGATCAAAATATATTTTCTTGTTTCTTTCATAATACAGTATGTGTTCCTAAAAGTCATTACAAAATTTCACATAACAAAACTAAGAGTTAAATATTCACAATATATAAGCAACAATAAAAGTCTTCACATCTTGCCCTTTTTCACAATCTCAAGAATAAAACAGTCTTTACAGATGGAGTTGACCTTGTCTTTGAGGCTCCTTGTCTGCCTCATGTAAAAATGTTAAAATGCAATTTCTAGGTGACAACACAAATCACAAAAATATTTTTTAAATGTTTCAATTAATGCAAAAATTAATTAACATGGCCAAGGACTATAAATAAAGACTGTTTTATTCCTGAGGCTGTGAAAAAAGATAAGATGTGGAGACTTATTGTTGGTCTATACTGTGAATATTTATATATATATTTATAGTCCTTGGCCATTTTAATTAATTTTTGTATTAATTGAAATATTTTTTAAAACTACGAGTTATGAGCAGAACACTCAAAATCNAATTGTAGTTTTTGATGTAATGATGACAGTTTCAGTTTTAGAGTAAAAACTAGTTCTTTTTTATTTAATATGCCTTCTAGAGAGGGATATATAACCTCACTTAAACTGGCATGCTAACATTTTCTTGGGATAAACTGGCATGCCAGTTTTTACCATATTAAAATATCTGATTTCATGGTTTCCTCTAGATAGACCAGCATGCCAGTCATTCTGCAAAAATATGGTATAAATACATCTCTGGCACATATATGGAATCATTGAGTTCACAGTATACAATATTTGCTCAAATAAGAAGCTGTAATGCTTAAACAGATCAGACTTCTGGAAGAAAAAAATCACAAAATAATCTGTTATTAATTCATATGGAATATGCTATGTATCGCAGCGCCATCTATGGCAGTTCAAATGTATATATGTAGTAGCGCGCCTGCGCACTGCAGAGTTCTGCACCGTTATGTACTTCAATAAAGACGTGTTGATTTAGCTGTTCATGAGAATCCGTTTCAATCCTTTTCGTAATCTAATTCCGACGTTAATACATACCAATTCTGGCGACGAGGTGGATTAAAGATAATATATTTCTTCAATTTTATTCAAGAATACTGATGTTCATTTATTTTTCTCGACCAATTCAACGAAGTCAACACGTGGTTACATTCAGCTAGACTTTGAACCTTCGACCCGTAAGTTACCAAATTGCTTATTATTATTGTTCTCTTTCCTTTATTCGAAAATGGCAAATGCGATTAACGTTAACCCTTACAACGTAAATACTGACTGGGATGAATATGTCGAGCAATTGGAAGAATTCTTTATAGCGTCCAATATCACCGACGATAGAAAAATGGTGGCTACTCTTCTTAGTCAAATGGGTCCGGTGGCTTACAAATTATTAAGGAACCTTTGTCTCCCAGATAAACCTTCTTCGAAGACATTTGCTGATTTAAAAAGTATAATGAGGTCCCATAGAAATAAATCAGTCAGTATTATTTCCGAGAGAGCGAACTTTACTCGCCGGGTACAAAAAGAAGGAGAATCGATTAACGATTTTATAGTTTGTTTAAAATCATTAAGTGAAAAGTGTGATTTTGGAGATTCCCTTGCTTCACGTTTAAGAGATCAATTCGTGTCGGGCTTGTACGACCCTAGGATTCGTTCAAATCTATTTGCTAAAAATGAGTCGGAATTAGACCTTCAGAAAGCGATCAATTATGCTATTGCTATGGAACAAGCTCTGATTGATGCAGGTCGTTTCAATAAATTGCCACTCGAAAACGATTGTTTTAAAATTCGTTCCACAAAGTTCTCTAACAGAAAGAAGGAGTTTAGTGAGAATAGTCCTAGAGATAAAACTAAGTTTGAAACAAAGAAAACCAGTACTTACATCTGTAAATCTTGTGGAAGCAAAAATCATTCCCGTGAGAATTGTAGATTTAGAACATTTACCTGTAATAAATGTGGCATTCTTGGTCATATTGCAAGGGTTTGTGGAAAAACTAAACATTCTCATGTGAGCATACACCAACTATCTCGTTCTGACAAAGATTCAAATGATTACTTAGAGATAGATAATTCAGCTTATTTAAATCTTTTCAATATTCAAGATGTCTCC